CAGAGAAAGCTGGCGCATCCCTAAACATTCCAGAAGATAGTAGAGAGTTGTGCCTGGGAACCGCTGGTCAGTCTGAGAAGATTTCTGTAAACAGGTGCTGGCAAACAGGTGCTTGCTGATTGAACCTGCATGGTCTCCAGGAGTTCTGTGGGCTAGGCCTGACACCTTTGGAACAAGTTTTTTTATAGCACCAGGTGAGTCTCCTTCAATCCTTCACAAAAGAAATTTTAATTACAGATTTAAGGACTTAAACAATTCTTTTTTTTTTTTGAATAAACAGCAAAAGTGTGATTAGAGCATTGATTTTGGAAAGTTACAAACCAACTAAAGGTCCAGATGGATTTGAAATAAGATTTTGAAATTAATTATAAGAATCCTTCCTGTGGGAAAATGCTTTTGTTTTGAATTCTCTTTAAAAAAAAAACATGATAGGATGAGACTTTGAAGGTTGGACACTAGAGGAAACCAGAAGGAACTAAAGATTACAAGGATTAAAGGAAAATAACACTTAAATTAAAATGCTTTTGTTTTGAATTCTCTTTAAAAAAAAAACATGATAGGATGAGACTTTGAAGGTTGGACACTAGAGGAAACCAGAAGGAACTAAAGATTACAAGGATTAAAGGAAAATAACACTTAAATTCAATTTACTAATAGAATGGAGCAAAATACTTTAACATTGGACATATTGAGGGATATTTGTGAACAATGGGCCCAGAAGATAATTTTAAGAATGTCTGTCATTATGGACAGTTTAGAAGATCTTATGGAAGAGGAGCAAATTTTACCAGACAAGATGGAGACTGATCTGAATGTGGATTTAAAAATGTCAGGCTGACAAGAATGACATGGAAAAAGATGTTAGGCTGGACATATGAAAGAAACCGCCTGATGTCTTAATAATTAAAAGAGGGATATACAAATAACAAACCAAGAGAGTGATCTAGATAATTTTCCTATATTGGATTTACAAAAAAGGCTTGTTAAAGTTCTGTGAAGGATTTTGTGAGAAGGGATAAATAAAAAATGAAAAGAAATCAAGTTCTACAACACTATTTGAAAGGATTAAATATCAAGATTGTTAGAACTAAGCGGAAGGAATATAAAGTTGGCTTATTTGATCAAGGTTAAAATAGATATGTTGCTATCTCTGGTAAACCTTAATGGACTGTCTGTCATTATGGACAGTTTAGAAGATCTTATGGACTGACATCAGGACTGAAATGATGATACTTTAT